TAAAAAATATCTTGTGTTTTAGAATTACTACATACATCAGAATTCAATCCAGACAGTATGTGTGTGAAGTTACATGATGTTAACTAGCACAAATACCAAAAATTTGAAAAGCATATTAGATCAATAATGCAAGAGGAAAGACTAGACAATCCTTTCAATGTCTCCATAGAAAACACTATAAAAATTATATGTGAAAAAAATAGAGTTTATACCCAACAAATGAGAGGAAAAGTATTACAAAGATATTAGACTAGTTTATAAATATGAATTTTTTAAAATTTTATTTTATTATTTCTAAAGTTTATCACCTTTTTAAAGTTTAAGTACCATCATTAAAAAGAAAATGCCTAATTGGTACGGCGGCATACACACACCTGTAATCCCAATACTCAGAAGGCTGAAGCAAGAGGAGTGCTGCAAGTTCAAGGCCAGCCTGAACTACATAGTGAGACCCCTTCTCAACTAAAACACAACACTCAACAAGACAAGTAAATGCTTAATGACTAGGGTAAGCACTACTTTAAAAGCAAAGCCCTGAGTTTGATTCCCCAAGACACACGTAGACAAACACACACCCACACAGTTAACCTGAAATCAGATCTGAAGAAATAACCAAAATTCAGCAGGTGGGAAAATACTAACAAACAATTAAGGATACATGGAGGGAAAAGAGAGGGGTGGGGATTGACATGCATGTAAAAGGAGTGACAGAATAATTTAATATAGAGATCAGGGAAAAGCAAGAGTCAAAGAAAGAGTGTATAACATTTAAATTTGGGGACATTAATCCTCAGACTAGGGCCAGCAAGATAGCTCATCAGACGAAGCACCTGCTTAGGCCAGCACAGGGACCAGAGTCCCCAGCACCACAGGCCCAACTGGCCCCACCCCCGAATGGGCTGAGCCGGCCAAGGAGACCGAGCATGGTGGAGCACAGCTGTAATCTCAGCTCTGTGGAGGCTGAAAACAAGGATCACTACAAGTCTGAGCCGCAGAGACCTTGCACTAAATACATTTAACAAATGTATCCTCAAACTGAAGAAACAAACAAATCTGATCAAACGGCATAAAAATGAGTCTACATCCTAAGGAATCTAACTCGCCTAAATGAAGATTCAAAAGAAAATCTTAAATACAATTGACAGATTGCCTACAAATTAAAACCAAATCTATATGGGAAAAAAAAGGATGATCTTTAAATCATTTTCCATTTAGAATTCTATGCCTAGCAAGATTATTATTAATTCAACAAACATTTATTAAATCTCAGTAGGAGATGCCAGGTTCTATATAGGTGCTTTAGGGCAAAGGGAAGTAAATAGTCCCTAACTTCATGCAGTTTACATTTGCTAAGAATTTTTCAGGAAGAAAGGCTGGCAAGATAACTCAGTGGACTAAGTGCCTGCTTACGTAAGTGCAGGGACCTGGGTACCACCCCTTGCACCACATGCTGCACTGACCCCGCCCCTAGGCACGCTGAGCCAGCCACCAAGTCCCAGTGTAATCCCAACACGCCTGTACTCCCAGCCCTGGGGAGGCTGAAAACAGGAGGATCACTACAACTCCAAGCTGTGTAGTGAGAACCTGTAACAAATACATTTAAAAAAAAAAATTTTTTTAAGATTATTTCAAGAATACAAATGAAAAAGAAATTCTTTATTCTTTTTTTTTAAAACAAATGATTTATTTTCTTTTACAAACCTCTGTGTTTTTTTTTTTAAAGTCAACAGAAAATGGAAATATACTTTTTAAAGTTTCTAATACTAGGAGAAGATATCATACAATGTCTTTTAAATAAATTGTAAGCCAAAGATACAGCATAAATCTTAGAACAAAAATTAAGATTAAGCAATATTCAGAAAATTAAATGTTTCAAAACAATTGAACTAAGAAAAAGTTTTCATGATAGCAAAGAAGTACTAAGAGTAAAACATAAGATAAATACTGGAATGGCAAGTAAATGACCAGCACTTCTAACAGTTTGAGGATAGGATATCGCACAAAGTTCTAGTGTGTTGTGGACATGCATAATGACCGTGACAGTTACTGGTGGCTAGGCGTCATTTGTGGAACTGAGCTACGGCTATTTCTTTGAAATCCACCCTGTAGACTCAGGTGGAATCATGACCCATAGGGTGGAAGAGAAGTCCATTTGTAGGGTGTGCTGATGAAAATATTCTGCTGCTGAAAACAAAAGAATAACTGAAAGACTACTATTGTATACCTCTTATTCTCCTCTGTTTAATTGTTTGCCCTATATGGCGGGTTCTTTCCATTCTCATTCATGGGGCTGTGATCAATTTGCTCCCTCTCTAGAACATCATTTAGTAGTCTGTGTAGGCCTGGCTTTATCATCATGAAATGCTTTAGTTGTTCTTTGTCATGAAAATATTTCACTTCTCCATTATATTTGAAAGAGAGTTTTGCAGTATAGATCAGTCTGGGTTGGAATTTGTTTTCTTGCAAGACTTGAAGTACTTTGCTCCATGCTCTTCTTGACGTGATGGTTTGTGAAGAAAAATCTGCCAGTTATTCTGATGGGTTTTCCTTTAAATGTGATCTGTTTCTTTTCTTTAGCGGCTTTTAGTATACTGTTCCTATGCTGAATTTCTGGAATCTTGATTATTATGTGTCCGGGTGTGGTTTTCATTGGACTGATACTATTTGGAGCTCTATATGCTTCGGTTACAGGAATGTCAGATTGTTGCCCCATATTTGGGAAGTTTTCTGCTATTACTTCTGCCCATATTCTTTTTATATCATTTGTATTGACTCCTTCCTTCTCATTGATGCCTATTAGTCTCACATGGTTCATCTTTGCATCGTCTTGCAGGTATTGAATTTTTTTTTCCTGCATCCTAGTTGTTTTAAAGAGATCTTTTCTTACTTTTTCACTAGCTGCAATGGTGTCTTTCAGGTCAGAAAGTCTATTTTCACTTTCACGCAAACGGTTTTGCCAGCTTGTGATTGAGGTTTTAATTTCCTGTATATCACTTTGAACCTGTTTCATAGATTCTATTTCTTTCCTAAATTGTTTATTCAGGGGTTCCATCATTTTTATATTCTCCTCTATTTTTTTATCAGTGTATTCTTTAGAAGCACTTAGTACTTCTTTGATTATAGTTACCACTACATTTTTTAGTTCCGAAATTATTTCTGATCTGATTTCTTCTATACCTTTCTGCAATTGATCCTTTACTGTCAACGCTATTATTTCAGAGATATCTGGTGTGTGACTTCCAGTTTCCTCAGTGCTAGTGTCTTCTGCATTTGTACTGGGTGGACTCAGGGCCTGAGACTGCATTTTGTTCCTTCTCTTTGTCATTTTGTATACCACTGCCTTGTGACCTTTGGTGTAGAGCTTAGATACAGTTATTACCTTAGCACCTGGTCCGAATCTATGAAGTTCAGATTCCTCCAGGTGGGTGTTGTTTCGATTTGTCTGCTGTGCTCCACTTCTTTCTGCTGCAGGCGTTAGAGTGGAACCCTTTGTATCTCTCTGGGAATATGTTCTGCTCCTGAATCAGTTGGGTGGGTCTTGCCTCTAGCCTCTTTGCAGGGAGTTCTGCTGAAGGGTTCCATGCTGGGCCTGCACTCTGGGTCTATTCAGGATCCTGCCAGGCCCTGGGTCGTCTCACTCACTCGCTGGGGCTGCGCTCCAGGTCTATTCAGGATCCCGCCGGGCCCCAGTCGTCTCACTCACTCACGGGGGCCTGCGCTCTGGGTCTATTCAGGATCCCGCCGGCCCGGTCGTCTCACTCACTCACAGGGCCTGCGCTCTGGGTCTATTCAGGATCCCGCCAGGCCGGTCGTCTCACTCACTCACGGGGCCTGCGCTCTGGGTCTCGAAATTCTTTATTCTTTGCTCTCCTCAGATCCTCAAATTTTTATCTCAGTGCAATCAGAACACTTAGCTTTTTGTAGTACATATGTTAAAATAACTCACTCGACAGCATAACCTAGGCTTTCTTCAGTGGCTGTATATGAAACTCCACAAAGTGTATAAAAATATGAGCAACCTTCTGTGCATGAACAGTTACCTATGCAGAATGGCCATATGTCATCAGACTGATTACAAAAGGATCTATGATGCAAAAGGAATGAGAACCACTCTTCTGAGCTAACACCTCCCACTCAGAATAACCTTGGTGCATCTCCAATAGTAACTTTTAATGCATCTTGCAGCCCATTTTTATTTTCTACTGTGATTTCTCCACTCATAGCAAACCATAAATACATACTTACCAGTACCTACCAGAGCAACATTTGGTAACACATGTAATGACTGAACAAAAATTATCACTAAAATGAACAATAAAACTTATCTCTGAATACATGAATATATGCCCTTTTTACAGAATTTAAGAAGCTATCCTTAGATGATAGCTTTTCTTAGCTGAATTTCTTTTAGTGTTGCTTATCAAGTCTATTCAACAACTTTTAAAGATCTTAATGCAAAAATGTCTTTAAAATACGAACTTGGTGGTAAAATTTATAAAACTTTGATTGTATTTTTACTGTAAAGAAAATCTGGCTAAATAATATAACTTCATTTCTATAAACTTAGAAGTCTGGAAACTTAGATAATTATATTGAAAAATGTAGTAAGCATTTATAAACAACACCACATTGTTGTTTCAATGTTTAACAAAGTACATCATAAAAACACATCCTTATATACCTTTTCACATAAGAAATGGCACTGGGACATGAAATTCAATACATATAGGGAGAGCTAGATAAAGGATCATGAAGGTCATAGAGCTATGCATTATGGGCCTCCTAGAGATAAGGGGAAGTCAGTCCTGTACAAAAGAAACAAACCAGATGGTATCAAGGTTCATTTATGCATGTTAATCTACGCTTCAAAACACAGGCAAAATGCATTGCGAAATTCAAGTGGATTTCCTTTTTTAAAATAGAAATGTAGTTGAGAAAAGAAAAGAAAAAGCATGTGGGGGAAAAGACTTCGAGTTAAAAAATTAGTGTTACTTACCAAGTTGGCCATATAAATAGTGAGCAGCCCTCTCCTGCAAAAAATTTTAAAAAGAAATAAAATAGTAAGCTTTCATTTGATTATCATCTTTTAAAAGAATTATCAGCACTTGAGCAACATAATGATATCTTAAGAAAAATGGGTAGACTGTGCTGAACTAGATTTCTAGTACAACAGGTGGATCTAAATGATTTATTTGAAGTATAACTGATAAACAAAACCATATATATTGAGGGTGAACAACACCATTATGTTGTGAACTGATTAAAATCAAACTAATTAACATCACCTATCACCTCATACACTTACAGCAACTCTTGACCTCCTCGCTTTAGAATCACTTTATGACACAAGTTTTAAAAATTATTCTTGAAAAGTGAATCCATTTTTTCTAATGGTGTTTGTAAGTAGGATCACAAGTCTGCATCTTGTACAGCAATTAACCACTAAGAAGAATATATGCAGTGTATTATTTGTTGAAACTGTACTTTCAATTTGATTTGAAACTGTCTCATTGCTATATGTTTATCAATAAAACTTTGAAAAGAAAAAAAAAAAAGAAAAAGAAAAGTGAATCTAGAATCTTACTCCCAGAGAGAGATTAACACAGTAAAGCGAACACCATTCTGAACAGGCTAAAATCTCTGTAAACTAATACACTGTTAAAAAAATTTTCAATAGGTGATGCCATATGTAGTGGTTTGCAATCTGTAACAGAATGCAATGGACACTGTTTTACCTCAACTAATCTATGTCAAAATCATGATTTCTTAAATTTTTGTTAGCCACTCTTCAGACAGAGAATAAGCACAATATGTAAAACTTCAAAGAAATAGACCCTCCAAATTTAAAGTCTCAATCCAAAAACAGGCATCTGACATGTATAGACACTTCTCAGATGAAACAGTATAAACAGCCAAAAATACATGAAAAAACACTTCAGTGCTGCTAGCCATTCTGAAAACAGACCAAAACAACACTGAGAGCTGGGGAGATAGCTCAGGGCCTGTCTTAGTAATTTTATTTTTAAGTTTTTTCAGGAAACTCACTGAGAAGTAGTTGTACTAATTTACTCCAACAGCAATGGAAAACGGTTCATTTCTCCCCAATCCTCAAAAGCATTTATTGTTCTTGGCATTCTTCATGAGAGCCACTCTGGTGAGGGAGAGATGGATTCTCAATGTAGTTTTCATTTGCATTTCCTTGCTGGCTAAAGATATTGAACATATTTAAATATATTTAATGTCCATTTGTACTTCTCTTAAAAAATATCCATTCAGTCCATTTACCCATTTAGGGATTCAGCTATCTGGTTTTTTTTTTTTTTTTTTTTTTGATGTTTAGTTGAGTTCTTTATATATGAGACATATTAATCCTATGTCAGAAGAGTAGCTGACAAAGATTCTTCTCCCCTTCTCGAAGCTGTCTCTTCACTCTGTTAGTTGTTTCTCTTGATGTGCAGAAGCATTAGTTAGGATTGCACACTAGAGTCCTATTCAGCAAGGTGCCCAGGCTTTCCTTCCAAATCGGTGGAAGCTTTCCTTACTCAACAACTCTTGCATGCTGCATGCCAGTAATGTCATTAATACTATGCACAAGATGCCAAGGTCTGTCACCAGTGCAGAGTGGCCCAGCCACCGTGGACCATGACAACACTGGCCTCTGAGTGCCGCTATGGCTGCACTCCAGGCAATCAAGTCCTCAGGCAGGCCTTCTCAAGCAGAATGCCCAGCAACTTATTTTTTTTTAAATTTTATTTATTTATTTATTTGAGAGAGAGAGAGAGAGAGAGGGAGAGAGAGAGAGAGAGAGAGGCCAGCTCAGCCCACCAGGGGGCAGGGCTGGCTGGCATGTGGTGCTGGGGGATTGAACCGCGGTCCCTGATGCTTTTGCTAAGCTTGTTCTAAGTAGGTGCTTTAGACCACTGAGCCATCTCTCCAGCCCCCCAGCAACTTTTCTTAAATGAGCTTTGAACCTTCAGTGGGTGGGGTCTAGTTGATTCCTGACATGTCCCCAAAACACGTTCCTTCTTTTCCCCATACAAAGTAGTTAACAGTAGTTGTTTTCTTCTACTGGAACTAATCCCCACAGAAACCATACCTGCTGTGGCCCCAATTTTATACATGATTCCTTTGAGACCAAAAGTTGTGTGTTTAAAAATAGTTCTTCTGTTTCTCACTATCATCTGCATAAAAGCAGCCAGCAGCACCAATGCCACAGCCTGAATGTTGGACTGCCTTGACTCTTCCTCCATGAACTAAAACAGTCAGCCATCTTGAAATTCAGCCTCATACACCGAGGACAAAGACAAATTCTTTGCCAGAACATAACACGCATGGCCGCTAGTCCATTTCCTGGTAGAGGCCCCATTCCTATAAGAAACTTCCCGAGCCTGGGCTTTACTGTGCAAACTGCTCCCAGTATTCTGATCTTCTACACTGACTACAATGGACTGTGAATTCGGCTTACAATATTAATATTCTATGGCAGCGATGGTGAACCCATGGCCACGTGTCACTGTGTGCTATTTGCTATCATTGAAAGCTCTAAACAGTTCACTACCACTGTTCTAGGGTTTCTCCAGCCGGCTTCTCCAAATAGTCCCAAAAACCTTCTATAAGCCAATTCCAAAAGCTTCTAAACCATATAGTTGGGTATAGGGACAGCGATGAACCCACTCTCAGTACAGGTGGTTTGTACTGTTCAGTTTTCCTCAGTGGAGATACGATATTCATACAAAACTGAAAGAGCAAAGGCTTGGTTTGGTTCACAACTTCAGTGGATTCAGTCCACAGTGGACTGACCCAAAGGCAGACACAGTGAACGCGTATGGTGCAGCAAAGACATTCGCTAACACTGTCCAGGAAACCGAGGGAAACAGCGCTGAATGACAAGGGGGGAGGGACGAGTGCTCAAGGTCACACCTCCACAACGACACTGGTGTTTCACTAAGAAGCTCCCAAGCCAAGTAAATTGACACAATTATGCTTAAACACATTTAGTAGTAAAGAATGTTAACAAGTTCATCTTCCTAAAAAGTGAGGTTCAGAAGAAGTGTGACTGAAGGCAAATTTTTTTGCAAATATTAAAACAAGACTTCTATTTCTCTTGTACACTATCACTTGTTCATTTCACTAGATGTCATTACGAATCACAACAAATTACCTTGGTTTTCATTCTTAGCAAGAAGTCACAAAGTAAATTTCTTAATTACAAAGACAAACACAAGTTTCATAAACATTCGCTCTATAGAAAAACTGCCTACTTATCAAACTTACTTAAAAATTCTGATAGAAACTAAGAGTTATTTTCTGCTCTCAATCAGAAGTTTAACTTAACAAACACTGCACAATGAGAAATAAATGAAGCACATCCTATTTTCTAGCATAAAGGTCTTTAACATGCTGTAAGAGATGAAGGGAAAGTTGAAATAATAAACTCTATAAATTACAAAAACTCATTTGAACTTGAGTGATGAGAATTGTAATACTCAAGACAAAATACATAAAACAAGTACCAATATGAAATCACTTTTCTTTAACTATCAGCCCAGATATACACATTAATACTGTTCATGAAATATTCCTAATGTCAGGTTCATATACTATCTCGACTGCTCATGATTGAAAACTGTTAAAAATGTTAACACTCCCAAAGCCACATGAAAGCAGTGGGACTTAACTAAACAGTGCTGAGCTGAAGTTAGAAAGTCAGGGTCAGTCCTGGTGAACTTTAGTTAAAACGAAAGAATAGGACTAGTCATCTAGTGACATTTTTAAACATAAAAACTACTTAAATAAAATATTTATATTTATCACCAATATGTAAAATACTATTCAGCCTGGAAGGGTAAAGGGGTCCAAATTCCTGTGGCTTATATCCCAGGGAGTCATTCTCCTCAACAGAGCCTAAGGTTATTCAACAAAACATAGGGCCCTACTAGTCCTCCAAAGAGTAATCTTAACGTCATTGGAAAGATGATCCATAAGCTGCTTTTTATACATTCTTTTCTGCAATTACTACATTACTCTTACTAATTTTTTCCAATCTTTTTTTTTTTTTTTTTTTTCTTTTTCAGAACGGGCATTGAACTCAGGCCCTTGCACTTGTCAGGGAAGCGCTTATTCTGAGCCATCTCCCCGGCCCCATCCTTTCCAATCCTGCCAGTTTCTCACAAACTATAAATCCAAGATGCCCTAATATTACTTAGCTTAAGTAAATTGCAAAGAAAAATCAGAAAAGTAAACCTCAAAAGTCACATAACTACAAAGACAGGTTAAATATCTCTCAAGTGAACACTATTTTTATGAAAGTTGGGTACAGTGGCCAGCACGATAGCTCAGCAGACTAAAGCACCTGCTTAGGCAAGATTAGGCAAGTGCAGGGACCTCGGTTCAATCCCCTGCACCAGAGGCCACGCCAGCTCCACCCCCAGGACAGGCTGAACTGGCCACAGAGACCAAGCATGGTGGCACATGCCTGTAATCCCCGCACTGGCGAGGCTGTTTTAAAACAGGAGGACCACTGTGAGTCCATGCTGCATAGTGAGACCCTATAACAACCAAACACATTTAATTAAAAAAAAAAAGTGGGTTACAATTTCTCAGACTCTTCAATTATAAGTACTAAAATAGAAATATTCCTGCAGTTTCCATAGTAGTGTTTGATAACACATTTCATCATGAAGTAACTAAACCGATACATAAAACGCTTAACTAATTTAGCAATATTCCACCATAATGCAGCTACAGTTTCATCATCAGCTTCCATCTATCTCACAAAAATATTGCTCGACTAAAGGACAAATATAACCTCTCTACCTTGACATTTCCACAAACTGAACTAGCCAGTGTCAAAGCGACATTACACAAACACTAGGAACTATTTGATATACAACCATCCAGTTGTTTCTAGGAACCCAGGCTTATAAAAAGAAGCATAGTACAGACATGCATTTTAGACCAACAACCCCAAAGACAGTCAGCAGAGGAATATGGGTGAATGATAACAATTTACTGGTGCACAAAGGGGTGA